GTTGATCATTAAGGAAATGTGAAGACATCCTTCTTGACTTGCAGGGGTGCCTGGAAGTCCTTGAACCCCAGTCACGGGAAGGAGAAAGCAGCCAAGTCACTAGACACCCAACCCTTGATAACTTGTGGAGTCTGCGTATTTTGATAAGGTCTCACTCGTACGCCAAGCATTTGTCCTACAATGTTCCTTCACGATCCCTGCAACCTACAGAATTTCATCCTTTCTGGAGAGTCACAACACGTAACACAGTATCCAAATAGACATCCGGTACTCAGGTAATGAAAAGAACCATAGGGAAACAGTAAGCGGCAATGGGACTGAAGTTGATTTTGGCCTCCCCATTGCTCTCTCTCCCCCTCTCCCCCTGAAATCTTAGAATTTCAGTGTAGACGTGTCCATGCTGCAGGTGTGTTCATCTCCCCTCTGAAAAAGGACCTTTTATCCCATATGTCCTGGTCATGTTAGCACACCATGCAAAGACCATTCAGTAGACTTAATACTCGCTATTAAATGTTATTTTACCTAAATTACTTGCAGTAGGCACTGTGGGCTGCCTATCCAGAGCTCCACTTTTATACTGGCATCCATGTCTCCCACAAATGGCCCAGGTAAATCCTGTTTGGGGTGAAAAACCATGATGGTCCCATTACCTTTGCCAGCAAATGCTTCAAATCTGAGATGAGATGGGAAGTCTACTGGAGAGCTTCTGGGAGAAGCATCATCACACCTCTTAAGAACAGACTCAAGGAGGAAATACAGCTACCCTTGAACCACACTCCTGCAGTCAGAAGTCCTTGTGTAAGTCTATAGTCAACTCTCCATATCTCTGGTTCCACAGCCATGGATTCAATCAGCCATACTGTATTATGCAGATAAATAGTGCATATTTAGTGGACAAAATCCACATACGAAGGGACCCGCACAGTTCGAACCCATGTTGTTCAGGTGTCAGTGCCTTTCTGCCTCTGGACAACCATGAGTGACAACCATGAATGTGCAGCGTGCAGTGCAACATCTTCTGACCCTGAGAGGGGTGAGCCAACACAGTGAAGCTGGCCGTGACCAGGATCGTGAAAATAACCTGAGTACTTCATGAGCCAAGAAATTCACCAACCCTCAGCACTGATTGTGTGTAATGAGACAACAGATTCTCTTATTGTTTAAGCCATTTTGAATTGGATTTTTCGTTTCTTGCAGTCCAAAGCATCTAAAATGATACAATACCTCTCTGGAGAAGCAAGAAAAGGGCCTAGCAACAAAGGAATAGGTGCTTCAGGAAAGAGACTAAGATTTATTTCTGAAAAAGTGTTTCAGGAAAACCAGCTGTGAAAGGTATTTTTAATAGTCAGCCCTGATGTACAGAGGGCCCTCTGAAATCCTCCTGTGCAGCATAAAGTTACAGCAAGCCACTGTGAATGGTATGTGTGGGGATATACAACATATTTGGAGTCATTATAACATGTAAACATTAGGCAACTACCATGAAATTAGTCTTTATTATTCATCTACTCTTATTTCCTTCTACAATGGTAAGATTGGGCTTTTTTTTTTCTTTTTTCTTTTTTTTATCGCCCTTCTACCTCATGAATACACAGAGTTTCATGATTGGAAGGGAACTCAGAAAACCAGGCTCAAAGAGATTGAATGATTTCAACAAGGTCTTACAGCTAGCTGGGGGCAGTTTTCCTTATTACTAAAAATGCTTCATGTGTGATTTTAAAACAAAGTCATTTGCTGAACACCCGGTTTAATGCAAATTTGAACTGTAAAGACATGAGAAATCAAAACCAGAATTTTATTTTTAGTAATTTCATTATGAAAATAAAATCTGTTTGAACTCACTGCTTTGAGCTTCCTCTTCCCTATTTCCCACACCCTCCCAAATCCCAGCCCATGTCTCTCAATACCATTTCTCCCTCCTTGAAAATCCTTGCATATGGCCCATCCTCTAGGCCACTGGTTCTGAAAAGACTGTTTGAACCCGATTTTTCTAGGAAGTAAACCAGAAATGCAGATTCCTAGGCGGGTCCAAATCAGTAGATCGAGGGTAGGGCCCAGCACTGTCAGCGTAAACAAGCACCCCAGGTGAGCCTCGTTGTGCTTTGAGTTTCGAGGCACGTGACTCCAGACTGCTAGATTCCAGGATCCAAATAGCAAACATCTAATTATCACAGTAGATTTATGCTGGAACAACAAAAAATATGTGCAGAGTTGCCTATAATTTTTATGTTCCCTCTGAGGTCTGAAACAGATCCAACAGCTCTGTGATCTGGATGCCCCCTGAATCATTTGCGTGGAGGTTTGGGGTTTTTATTCTTTCCCCCTAAGACTTTTTTCCCCTTTGAATGAATTTCTACTTGGGATTAAATATAAAATGTCTTAACTCTCCCTCCTGAGCTAAAGGAAATCAATTTTGGAAAGTGTTTCAAAAGAGTAGTTTAAAAAATACACAAAATTTCTTCCCTTTGAACCAGATGCCTGGGACTCACAGGGCCAACACAGTAGGTAATGAGAGAAGTAAACACCGGCTTTTCCAGCAGCATCAACCCTGAAACCAAAACTGAGGAAGGAAGCTGACCATTAAGTAAGTGGATCGGAGGAACAATAGCTCAGGCGTATCCTCGGGTAAGTTCGAACCTGAGAAAACAGGAATGAAACAGACAAACCCCTTGTCCCAAGTTCACTTGCCCTTCCTGTTCGATTTTAAAATAGGACGCTGCTGTAAATGAGAATAGAGAGTTCACGTGGAATCTTACAATGCCGCTGGGCTCCAGAAAATTCTTTCAGATGTAAACAAATACTCCTTACTGGATTCAGCAGTACTCGTTTATACTAACTCCTCCACGACATTTTAAATCTAGAGGCTGCAGAGAACAAGGACCCAGCGTGCAGAGAATGGGAGTCCGTGTGTTCTAACATCAGCCCTGACCAACTCACATTACAGCCATGAGGGGGTGTCTGGCAGTAGACTTCTTAATGGTTACACGAACAGAGAAATGCCACATAACCTCCCAGAACCAAAGAAAATCATTAAGTATCAGAGATGAGACATAATGTTCCAGAAATGCTATAAAACAAATTAAGTCCAGCAAGAAAATTGGTTTCAATTCGTCAGAAGGCCAAAGTCAAGATCACAGCTGTAACTTGCATTTTCCACGTGTACTTCTTCTCAGGTGAGGGACAAAGAGCGGACTTCACTGGGAGAGAAGAGGGTAGAACAAGAGGGAGACAGCGATCCAACCACCGGAGGTGAGGAGGCTCGACTGCCCGATACCCACCTCGAGGGTTTTGGGTTTTTGTTTTTTTTTCCTCTCTTTTTCTTTAAAGGTTCCTAACAATTCTCAGGGCACTTACAAATGGGAAGATTTAGTTGTGGCTCTGCTGGATCACCACTTACTCTTGGTCTCTCTCAGTCCGATTAAACCCTCATCTCAACGGCACGGCTTGAAAAGCCCAGCTGCTTTCAGCTGGTTGCTGTCTTTGTCCAGCTGCTCCCAGCAGGCTCGGAGGCCTCCTTAACACCCAGCGGCCACACAGCAGGCATGAGCATCCCATCATGGGCTTGGCTGCGGTATACCTGGCACCTCCTCTGCTCTGCTGGAGGCAGGCCCTTCAAGTGTGCAGGTCCGCTCTGAACCAGCTCTCCCACTTAACAAATGCTGACTAGGGTGCGTGGCACAGGAACCACACCGCCAGCTGAGAGCATCTGGAGCTACTTTTTAAAGCCCAGTTCCCATCATTTAAAACACACTTCATCATGATTCTCGGACACTTTTGCGGCATTCTCCTTGCAAACTTGCACGTTCTCCACTAAGCTTAATTGTTTCTGAACGTGCAGTTCTCATATGGCAGGGCAAGAAAAAAAATTTGACGTGTAACAAAGCTGCCCTTGATTCTGCCTAATTACTTCTCACAACATGCAAAATACTCATTTGTTCATAATTAAAATCTGTGGAAATCTTTATGGTAACTTACATACTCTCTCTCCAAAATATCAAATATCATATTGGTAGAAATATGAAAACAAACCATGATCATCTCCCTCAGCAGAGTATCAACTTATCCCAAAGAAATGACTTAATGGCAGAACGAAGTGTGGGTAAGGGCTAAATTTATAACACATCAGTTCCATAGAACACAGAGTTGAATGATTTAGGGTAACTGTTACACTCTGTCTTTCCTTACGCTCTAGTCTCCCATCAAGAACATCCATCAAAGCTGATGGGAGGTTAGACCACACACACATGCGGTGGCTGACACCGGAAGGGGTGTCAGTGAGGCCAATCCGAAAAGGGCCAAGCAACAGTAAATACACAAAACTTCTAAACAGTTCCAAGAGTATAAATATCCTAGCAGGAAAAACAGGCCCCCACTGGTTTTCTTTCATTATCTCTGAGGGCATCTACCAATTCCTCTCTTTTTTAAATTTCAGGGGCTTTGATACATGTAACTTTTAAAATCAGTGACACTGTAGAGAAAAGGGAGCTTACTATCCCTATTTGACAGGTGAAGGAACTAAGGAATTGAGAAGTCAGTGGCTCGTCCAGAGGTAGGGAAGGGGTTTGTTAAAAACAGAACCAGCTCTAGAATCTGGGCCTCTTTATTCCAAATGCAAGGTCTGTAAACCCATAACATCTTCCTGTTTGCTCTTAATCATCACAAGAACATATAACTCCTGAAAAATCTGCTTGGTGACCTGGTATCATAGAGGACACACTCCTGTTTGCCCTTGACCATCACAAGAGCAAAGATCCCCCTGGAAGGTCTGCCTGGTGGCCCGGTCACATGGGCGCTTCCCCAGCCTCCTCTGCAAAAAGCATCTGACATCTGCTGCTGCCGTCCATTGCAGCTAACACTTCACACATTTCTCTCCTAAGCCTGCAGCACACCTGATGCAATAGTGGGAGGGGGAAACATAAGCAGAACGGAGACTGGCTTCAGTGCAAAGATAAGAACTTTCCCGGGGTGAGAAAAGGGCCAGCAATCGGTCTTAAACCTACTTTGCCAAGTGGTTCATGAGCAGCTGTAACATCTGCCTGTTTTTCTCTGGGAGCCGATGAACAAGGCTGTGGATTTCAGAGACCCGAGACTCTTGATTCTCCAGCTCTGCAAAGGAAGGAGGTAGGTAACATGTGATGAGTGTCACAGCTAACTCAGTGGGCAAGGCCAAAAAACAGGACACCAAAGGTTGGGCACAACAGGCTGAGGATTTCCCAAGGGTTTAGGACCCTGTTCTGTGTACTCCTGACTAGAATGACTAGACCTAGAAGTGCTTTTAATGGCACTTTCCATAACAGAATTCATTTAAAAAAATGACCATCAAGAAAACTCAAGCTGCAATGATGACGTGATGAAATGGAGCCAGTCAAACACACCCTCAGAGCAGGAACACTCTTGGGAGCAGCTGGCTCCCTAGAGTGACGGCTTCATTTCTAGGAAGGAAGGAACTTGGTGCCCCTGTCAAGTGATAAACAAATTGTACATGAACGACATCGCAAGGGTCTCAAATACCAAAATAACACCTCGAGATGGCACCAAAGAAATCAAAGGGCCTCTCCAGCGATTCTCAGGTCAGGCGCAACCACCTGCCTGGTAAAGACAGGAACGGCAGAGAAAAGGAGAAAGTCTTTCTGCCACCCTGTAACCTACGTCGCGGGCTGTCACATTCTCTTGGTTGAACCCGGAGCAGTGGCTCTGTTTCTCTGGGAAACAGACTGATGATACGCACCACACCTATTTACAGGACTGAGGTGAGGTTTCATTAGAGGACGGTTGCTATGGGTTCGGAATTTCTCTGTGAAGGAAATCACATAAACACTATCTTCACCTCCAGTGTTCTCCTGTGTCTTTCTCCTCTGTTTTACAGGGACAACTCTGAGCAGGTAAGGCCACCTGAATATTAGGTACTACAGAATGAGCCAGCAGTAGCTACCGGGGTAGACAGAGTCTGCAAGCCTAAAGGAAGCAGGGAGAGGCAGAGGCTAGCGACATAGGAGCACGGTGGAGATTCATGCCGGATTTAAATCTGACAGAGAATCTACTGCCCCTTACAGGAGGCCTGCCCCACGTAGACAGATTCCGGTCTACTCAGGGTAGTTTGCACCTAATCCCCATGTATTTTAATACTAGTAATATGACGCTCAGGACTTGGATGATACAGCTGAAGAATGATCGGAAGCTGGAAATGCACGCCATGATGGAAAGAGGACTGGGAAGTTATATAAATGGTGTCCTATTCAGGGAAACTCGCCCGATGCTCAATTTAGGTAATGTGCAAAGTCTGATTCATTCCGAAAAATGCCACTCCGAGGCTGGAAAAAACCCCAGGAGTCAGAGCTCCAATAATCAAAATTAGAAAGGCAAACTTGCTTTTCTCACCTCTCCCCACCCCCAAAAACTCACTTCTGAAGTTTTTCCCCTCCACTGGAAATTCAGCGTGGTGACAAGGTCGCTAGCAATCTGACTTCGTTTTGCTCTTATTCTGCATCAGTCTCAGGAGTGTGTTATGTGGGGTGTTTGCCCGCAGAATACGAGGGGTTAGGTAAATCCTTCTTTGGGGATGCTGATCTTTGAAGGAGAAATTTCTATTCCTTTCCCCTTAAAACTGTGACAAAAAGAAAACTTACTTGCCGCTTTGATGAAACTTCTTTGAAACTGGTACATCATGAGTGGTCCTGGAAGCATTCTGGAACAAAAGGATACACACTGGTCAGTTTAACAAAAACAATCATATTCTCTGTACATCGCAGCCGAGAGACCGCAAGACTGCATTACAATTTCTCAAAGATAAAAGATCACGAGGAAGTAACAGCAATTCAGTTTAGTCCAACGGAGTTTCCCTTTGGAAAGGGTCCTGAGATGTCACCTGAAATTGTCATTCTTTTCCTTTTTCAGGGGATGGATACAATCTATGCTTCACAGTCACAACTGGAAAAGCGCTAATGCAAAAGTCTAGCACAGACCGAGAGATTTCCTTTTTAGTCAGTGATTCAACCTCAACAAGAGCATTTTAAGTTGTGTCTGAGAAGCAGGCAAGTAACCCAACATTTGCAGTTACCTGGGCTTAAGCCCTCCTCTTCCTGGTAGCTTGTTATTAGTCAGCTCGTCTGGAGACACTATGAGAGACTTCTGTAGGTGTTTCTGTGGCGAATTCTCTATGGAGCATTGCTCCAAAATGCCGAAGTGCTAGAATCCCTAACATTAGGCATGAAACAACCACATATTACCTGCTATTTTTAAAAGTATATGTTTTACACTTACTGTCCGTAGCTCATCAATATCAACATGCACAAATAAGTACTAAATATGAACCTCTACCGCATGGTTTTGCATCAACCACAATGGTAGTCTTCGGAGTATGACTGTGTTTAATGAGCATGTTTAACTATAAACTTGAGTTTTTTTTCTGACAGTACAAATAATAAGCTTCTCAACAGACTATTCATTATTCATGGTTCAGACTTCATTTTATTCTCAATTCAACTCTTAGTCATCACTTGCATTACATCTTACTCTTGACTCCAAGACCCTTTCAGCAATTCCCCAACAGCCAATAAAACCTGCATTACCAATTTCCTTTCTGTGTCTTTCAAGCCAAGCACATCTTCACAAAACCTGTCCAAATGCTTATGCATTTCATAATTACAGTTCTCTTCTTTGTTTAAGGATCGACCCCTACTTTCCTGTGTAAGAAGAAATGAAGTAGAGAACTTGAACAGTCCTGCACTTCAAGTCCGGCACACCCTTCAGCCTACTTGTGAACCTGAGATGTGAGCAGCTGGTCAGTCATCCACTCCCTGAATAGCCAAGGGAGGGATGGAAGGTAGCAGTGATATCATACATTTTATTACAAAGAAAACAGTCTCTTCTCCAATGAAGTAATATTTTCCAATCTAAGCAAAAAGAGTCAAAAAGGAATTCCATCAAGTTCTCATTTTAAAGGAGCCATGTCAACAATATGCTCTATCTGTGCAACACACAAAACTATCGTAGCCCATAAGGTATGTCATCATGCACGCTCAACAGAATGATACACGTGATTTCTCGTTTTCTTAATAGATGATTCAGGGGTTGCAGGCAATACCACATTTTAGGTTCTGTTAAAGGCTAACTGTCACAGGAGCTTCTCAAAAAGAGCAAAGCTTCCTAAACCACTGCACAATGGCAAGCCATTAACTACGGATGATTTACAGTCAGGTTGACCAGCTGAGCGAATTGCACCCACACGTAGGCTGTTTCCACATCTCAAGCCCCCACCCACCAGCTCTCTGGAGGCTGAAAATAAAACTGCTTTCTTCCTGATTGCATGATAACAGCTGAGCTGGCACCAGGTCCTCCAAATGGAAAGTCCCTACCTTAGGTAGGTCTTCAAAGCACTAGTGATGGTCTTTATCTCCCATTCAGCACAGATATCCGTTTCTGTTTCAGAAGCTGTTTTGGGGTCTGAAACAAAGAAAAGACAATGTGTAAAACAGAGCTGAAGATACAGCCAAAAAACAAGCATGCATAAAAGCATTCAACCTCCCTACTAACCAAAGAAATCCAAATTAAAACAAAAATGACACCTACTTTTTGCTTATTAAATTAGCAAAACATTTAAAAATCCAAATATTTACTGCTGGCAAAAAAAAAAAATGGAGTGAAACTGATCCTCTCAGAAATTGCTGGAGGCAGATGAGATAAATGCAACAGATTTGAAAAGCAATTTGGCAATATGTATCAAGTCATAAAACTGTTTATACCCTTTGAAGCCACAATCTCACTCTCACAATCTATCCTCAGGAAATAAGACAGGGCATGAGAAAAGCTACAAACCCACCCCCCCGCAAACGTGCAACACACACCGTTCTTTAGAAGAGCAACGAAACATTTGGGGAGAAAAGAGAAAACCGAAATAACCGATGAGAAAACAATGATTAAGTCAATCGTGGGATATTCCTTCTGGAATATCATGTTGCATTTCCATGATAATGATGACTATTCAGCAAAATGGAAAATGCCTGGAGTATCACGTAATATCAGGCACAAAAAAAATTCAAGATTTAGACGTTTGTGAGAGACTCATATGAACAAAGGCTGAAAGGAAATACTGTAAAATGAAAATACTGGTCGGGTTAGAGTGGTAAATTGTGGTTTTTTTAGTTTCTAAACTATGACTTGATTCCATTACTTCTCTCTCTATTTTTTTTTAATTGCCTTAAACCAAGAAGGGCAATGAAAACCACCATAATTATATCGACTCGATCATTTCTTCCTGTCTCCTCCTGTAGGACTTTCAGTCAAATGTCTGTATTTCAAATAAGGGTAGATTGTATGAGATAATTCTTACGGTCTTTCTGAGCAGCACACGGGCAGTGAGAGTAAGAGGCAGAGGCTGGGAAACATGAACTGCTTCACAAGCCAGCAGACTCCCGTCTTCTCACTGGCGAGGCCATCAGAAGCAGAGTCTTTCAGTGCAGCTGAAGGGAGAATCCAGCTTCCCTGGACTAAAGACTGGCGACTTGCCTCCCAGCTCCATTCCCTTTTTTTTTTTCTGCATGGAGCCTCATTGTCAGCTGGGCTGCTACCCTCTTCTCCTCCACGTGCTCAGGTGAGGCTCCATCCTTCCAGGGGTGGAGAATGAGAGCTCTCTGAACCCCACCACTGGTTCAGGGATGAACTGAGACCCAAGCCAGGCCACTCAGAACGAAGCCCAGGACTTTTCCAGGAGACAATGGGAAAGACACCTACTGTTTCTTGCTGCCCTTGCACCTGGGAGATTGTCCAACTGCTCTAGGAGCCACTATGTGGAGCCCGAGAGTGAAAACTGGCAGATAAAACCGGAGAGGAGAGAGGCAAAGTGAGTGGGCCTGGACGACATGGTTTGAGCCTTTGTATCTCACCATGTCTTTTTAATCCTGTGAGCCAATAAATTCCCTTTTTCCTTTAGCCAGTTGAGATCAGGTTTTCTGTTCTTTTTTTTTTTCAATCCAAAGATATCTAAATGATACAGAAGGTAAACAGAGACAGCCACCGGATTGTCTCTTTCTGGACAGTCTCTGAGAAGAAACAAGTTCCTCCTGCAGGAGGCCAACAGCCTTGCAGCTGGAGAGGGAAAGAGTCACAGGCAGATGCAATGTATTTTCTATTTACCGGGAAGGTACCCACTTCCACCCTAGTAGGAAGAGGCCAAATAATCACGAGTGGCTTAAGGATTTAGGCTCTAATCCCCAAGTAAGGGCACATACCCAGCTGGTACCTACAGCTCTCACCATGTTTCCCTGGCACGTCTGGCAGATGAGCGAATAGAGCCCCAGTTCGATAAACGTTTGGCTCCTGAACGGCAGCACATCTGTGTGTCTGCCAGTGATCCTGGGCAATAATGGAGTCTGTCCTGACGTTTGAGACAAACAAGGAAAAACCTAAAGAGCATGACTGTATTCCTAGGGCCACAGAATGATAAACTCTGCAGAATTCTATGAGAGCAAAAATGTCTGAGAAGTAACAAAGCATGCTTTTCCAAATATCCCAGACCTCTGCAGCTTGAATTCTTCTCTTGCTCTGCCATCTCACACTCCCTTCGTGGTTTCTTCCTGTGGGAGCCTATGTACCAAAAAGCTTTGCTGAGCAGGACCTTCTTCCCTCCCCATCCCCCAGACGCAGGGAGTGCTGCCATGGTGCATGGTTCCTGGATGCAAGACAAATGTTACTGTACATTTTTCTGAGGAACCAACCCACTCTCCCCAAGAAGAGTGAACATGACACTAAACAAGCAGCAGTTGGCAGGTCTGGGAGTTGTGAACTGTTCCATGAACCACATTTAGCAAACTAATGATTAGCTTCCACTTACCCGGGCTCTGTAACCATAGGAATATTGTGTAACCGTTACAGAAAGGAGAGTCAAATTACAGCCCGGCTAAAGGGCTTTTTATAGCACTGATGAGGCAGGGCTCATAACTTGAACATGTCCATTTTAATTCAGCTAATATCCAGACTAAATTGAACACAGCCTCCCAAGCTAGCTCATTTCAGAAAGTGCTGTCAATTCCCGACTGATGCTCCCCTCACTTACAGAAGCTTCTTGGCAGCATCTTAATATGGTGCAGACACTTAATTGACCATTTTCTTCAGAACTCAGTACGTTTCTCCCTACCGTGTCACTTGACCATTGTGGACTTAGTAACACTGACCTAACCTAGGCGAGCAGTCCAATGGACAGAAAGGCATTGTGTAGGTACAGTGAAATGAGTGGACGTCCTCCCCAGCCTACTCCCACGTGAATTCAGACAACAGGAGACATGGACCTGAAGCAGTGGTTACAAGGGTAAATGGTCTTGGAAATGACACCCTGGGTCAGTCCCAAGATCCACTGCGTCCACTATCGCACTGCTGACAAAGACACCAAGGATCTTCTGGAAGAAGTGATTAGAAAAGCCACCTGTGTGCTCCTAATTTCCTAATGACACATTATAATCTAGGCAAATTAAAATGTTTTTCTCTTTAAATGAGAAGGTAATAGATACACATGATTAAAATAAATTCAAGCAAAAGAAACTGATATACATCAAAAGGTAACCCCTTCCTCTGCTAGAGGCTGATGCTAATACTAATTTTGTGTGTACGCACACGCTAACACTACGCACATAAGCAAGCATACGAATGTGGACAGCTTTCTAAAAACACAAACGCAAGCACATTACACTTGTCATTCTGTGCTCTGCTATTTTCATTTAACAATAGCTTAAGAAAACTGTTCCCTTTTAGTGCACTAATCTATCTTCCTTATGGTGCTTCACCATACATAGTTAATGTCCCCATTCATGGAGATTAAGATTGTTCCTTGGCTTTTGCTACGGTAAACAATGATGTAAACTACATGCCTTGCCCGTAGGAAGGAAAAAATCTGGTAAGTAGAATTATTGAGTCAAAAAGGATATGCATTTTTCATTTTGAAAAATATTGCTCAACTACCTCTCAGAGGCTGTACCATTATATTTAAGTATGAGTGGGACTCCTTCCCCAAATCCTTGACAACAGTATCAAACACTCAGATTTTGGCCAATCTGATATGTTAACAAAAAAAGAGGTCACGTTTTATTTTGCATTTTTAAGTGAGGAGGAACATTGAAAACCCTCTCCCGTGTGTGTGTGTGTGTGTGTGTGTGTGTGTGTGTGTGTGCGCGCGCGCGCGCGCGCGCGTGTGTTTTAAAGTCAAGTGTATTAAGATATACTTGCCCTCTTTGGGTGTACAGTTCCATGATTTCTGAACAATATATATAGTCATGTAACCACCACCACAATCAAGATATAGGTCATTTTCATCGCCCCCCCAAAATTCCTCTGTGCCTCTTTCTTTGTAGTCAATCCCCTCCCTCCACCTCCAGCCCCTGCCAACCCGTTTCCATAGCATAGTACTTCTGAAATCCATCCACAGTGCTGCACATGCCAGGAGTTCGACCCCTCTGTTACTAAGTAGTGTTTCATTTGACACACATGCCACAATTTGTTTATCCATTGACTAGATGATAGACACTTGGGTTGTTTCCAATCCTGGGATGTTATGAATAAAGCTGCCATCAATATTTGCAGACAGGCCTCTTAGACTACATTTTCATCTCTTGCATAAATACCTAGGAATAGAACCGGGTAAAAATACGTAGGAGTGGGTCATACAGTTAAATATATTTAACTTTATCAAAGCTACCAAATGGTTTTCCAAACCAGTTGGGCCATTTTGTATTCCCACCAGCCAATGTGAGAACTCGCACTACTTCACGTCTTCATCACACATGAAATGGTCATGTGTTTAATTTTGACATTTTAGCTGTTCTAGTAGATGCGGAAAAATAACATTTTTAAAATTTGTTCTTCCTTAATGACTAGTCGTGTTGGTCATCTTTTCATGTGCTTTTTGGCCATTCGTATATTTTCTTTGGTGAATTGTTCAAATCTTTTCTCCATTTTAAAAACTGGGTTGGTTGTGTTCTTATTACTGAATGTGCAAGAGTTACTTTTAATACAGTCTGGATACAAATCACTTATCAGAAATTTTGCAAATATTTTCTCCTAATCTGTCACTTCCCTTTTCTTTTTCTTAACATATTTTAAAGAGCAGAAGTTTTTATTTGGATAAAGTTCAGTTTATCAGATTTTTCTTTTATAGTTCCTGTTTTCTGTGCTCTACCCAAGGAATCTTTTCTAAACCAAGATCACAAAGGTTTTCTCCTGTGTTTTCTTCTATAAGGTTTATAGTATTATCTCTTAGGTTTAGGAATATCACCCACTTTGAGTTAATTTTTGTATATGGTTTAAGATAAGGGTTTGTTTTTTCTCATACGGATGTCCAATTGTACTAGTATCGTTTGTTGAAACAACTGTCCTTTCCCAATGAACTACCCTGACACCTTCAACACAGATCAACTGACCAGGTATTTGTAGGTCCTGTTTCTGGATTCTTTTGATTA